TAGGTTCTGACAGAGACAGAAGCAAAGACTTGGGTTCCGACAGAGACAGAAGCAAAGACTTGGGTTCTGACAGAGACAGAAGCAAAGACTTGGGTTCCGACAGAGACAGAAGCAAAGACTTGGGTTCTGACAGAGACAAAAGCAAAGACTTGGGTTCTGACAAAGACAAAAGCAAAGACTTGGGTTCTGACAAAGACAAAAGCAAAGACTTGGGTTCTGACAAAGACAAAAGCAAAGACTTGGGTTCTGACAGAGACAGAATCAAAGACTTGGGTTCTGACAGAGACAGAATCAAAGACTTGGGTTCTGACAGAGAGAAGGACAACGCTTCTGAATCAGGATCACAGAAGGCAGTAAACAAAGACACAGAGGGAGAGAAGTTGGTAAAAAATGAACGKAAAAGCTCCACAGGTGGAAGTGGAGGAGGGAGGTCTGTCTCTGTGGATAAAATGACTATCGGAGAAAAATCTGCCATTACCAAGAAAATGGTAGAGCAGGAGAAACCAAGCATTTCATCCAAGGAGAAAGGCATTGGGCCTGAAAGAATCACTAAATCTGACAGGTTTGTATTCTTCTGTTTGTCAAACAACGTTCCCTAATTACGACCAGAAGACAGCTTAATAGACCGGTTCTCTCTGTAAACACAGTTGTTAATAGATGTAATTATATTTTCTCATTTCCCAGGAGCRCATCCAAGGACAGAACGGCAAAGAGTGCCCCCTCAGGAGAAAAACCAGCTGCTGCACAAAAAGAAGGTAATTAAAAGCTCTGTAAAACTGCTGCAGAAGATGATTGAATTTCAGATCCTGCCTTTTAATAAAATCATTATAAAACGTTGCTTCTTTTTCCCCCCCGCCCTTTCAAGGAGCCAAAGAGGGTCATGAGACGGCCGTGAAGAGAAAACCCAGAATCAGTCGTAAGGCTTTAACCAGCCATGCTGCGAGCTCTAAGTAAGTCGGATGTACTTCTATTTTTTCTGTTTGTTCAAGGACATTCAAACGACAACTGTCTAAATATTTTATTAGTTCCTGGTTACTGGTGTTATTGGTGCTTTAGATTGCTGCTTCCCTTTAGGAAAATAAATGCCCTTTTTTAGCCAAAAATACAATGAAAACACAATCACTGCTGACTAATTAGTTCCATGGAATAAAAACTAAAAATAATAAATTATGACAACAAGTCAGTGGTGGGCAGCACTAACCCAAAAATTAGCTCCGCAATTTCTAAAGCGCTTATGAAAATATTTAGGTCCACAACTTCAGAAACGCATATGCCATAGAAAAATGGTTGGACAGATCTGCTGTTGGACAGATCACGTGTGTTGTGATTCGACAGCCATATCTTCCGCTGTTCAAGATAATGATGACTGGTAGAAAATTAGTTATTAGCGGTACTGCATTTTAATTTTAGAAAGCGCAAATTCGCTTATGAATTATAAAAAACTAGTAAGACCGTTACAGCGCAAACGAAATATTTAGGTCCGCAATTAGCGGATTTGCGCTTTAGCGGACTGGTGCCCACCACTGACAAAAGTTACATTCTTCTTAAAATTAAAACACCTCAGCTTCAGTTTTAACTGCAGACTTGCTGCACTTGGATTGATTGTATTGGCATCTAAATCAAGTTATATAACAGCAGTTACTGAATCATTTAGGCTTGTGCCAAGTCCCATGATTAACGGGTTGGTTGTTTAAAAGTAGTTACATTCTGCTGTGGACTAAAATAGTCTCTCCTCATCCACAGGTCAACTAAAGAGAAAAGGCAAGATTTAGAAAAAGACCAGAAGAATTTATCTTCTAAGCCCGCAGAGCAGCCTTCGTCCAGCCCTGTGAGCAGTCATAATCGCAGCCCGAGTGTCAGCCCGGCCAGAGAGGAGCCGCTCATTCAGGCACCTCCACGCTCCAAGTGGGAGAGGGAAGATGACGAGGAAGGCTTGGAGGATGGTCCTGCTGCACCCGCCAAAGAACCCTCACCGGTGGTGCAAAAGAGCCGACGAGAGGGGCAACACGAAGTCCCGAAGGCTATCAAGAGCGAAGTCAGGGATGCTTCGAAGGAGGAGAAGAAAGGAGCTGTGAGGGAGAAGTGGAAAGCTCCGAGGGAGGAGGGTAATGGTGGCAGGACTTCACACACAGATTTGGACAAACCACCCAAATCCAAAATTGTGAGGGAGGAGGGGAGAGGAGCGAAAGAGGAGAGACGAGCTTCAGCCAAAGAAGAGGAGAAAAGAGGAGGAGGACGAGAGGAGGGCAGAGGAGCAGAGAGTCGTAACCTCGAGCCCAGGAGGCAGCGCTTGTGCTCCGACCTGACACGCGAAACAGACGAGGCAGCGTTCGTGCCGGACTACAGCGAAGGCGAGGGCTCTGAGCTGGAGAGAGGGAGGAGCGGCAGCCAGAGTCCCTCACCAGACCAGCAGTCCCTCAGCCCGTCTGCGAGCAACCACAGCGGCTCTGCCGCCACCACCACAGTCGAAAAGAAGAAGAAGAAACACAAGAAGGATAAAAAACACAAGAAGCACAAGAAACACAGCAGCCAGGACAAAGAAGGAGAGACTCGGCAGCACAAGCACAAGAAACGCAGCAGCCAGGATAAAGACGGAGAGCCCCGGCAGCACAAGCACAAACACAAGAAGAAGAAACACAAAAAGAACAAAGAAAAAGAGGTGGAGGAAGATGGGAAGAAGGAGAAAAAAGAGGAAGAGGCTCCATGTGAAGAGGCTTGATTGCCAAATGTTATGACCTTCTTGGCTGTAATTTTTTTTTAAGAACTAACTGTGAGCTCCTCTTCTCCAGGATCTCCTCTAAGSGGGGACAGGTGTTCCTGACCCCTAGCAAGAGCCGCTTCGCTGTTCATCTTCCTGCTGCCGCTCCAAACAGAGATGGGCATTTGTTGTGCCTGAAATGGCTGCTGGGGTCTCTCAAAGTGCTGATGGGGATCACAAAGAACTCTGGAGAGATGTTGCAAAGCCCCCAATATATTCAGCTAAAAGCCGACCTGAAAAGACTGATAAATGATTACACAGCAATCAGTCTAATTGATAAGAATAACGAGCAYTGTACTCAGGGATGTGATTGCTTCTTGTTGAAGAAGAATTGATTTTCCTCTTCCTTTTTGATTTGTTTGTAAATAAAAATGTTTGTTTCGTATCATTTTGTCTTGGTTTGATGACACCGCAGTTTGCTTGCCAGGGCTTAAATATTGAATGACTGTCATCGCTTAAATTTCAATAATTGGCTCTTTTTCTTTGGAGGACTTTACTAGCAGTTTTGCATGTTTTAGCACATTAACTCAAAATGATGATTCTTAGTTATTTCTAATAATTCTCAACTTTAAAAAAGTTTTTTTAAGTGCTTATTTGTTTTGGATAGTACTTTTTTTTTCATTTGTTGGAAAATAAACCAAATATTTTTTGTTTAAACATCCATTTTAAGCAAGATTATAGCTTTGCTAAATGATTATTTTATTGTCTGCCTGAAAAAAGAGAAAAAATGTAACGGAATGAAATATTAATGGGCTAAAACTTAAGAGTCTAGTAGTGTTCTTGAAGCAGATGGTTTAATGTTTTCCACACTGGATTGTGTAAATTAAGGATGTTTATTTAATGACAAATCAGTCTTCATGTTTTTGTTCCTCTAAGCTGAAGTAACTGTCATGTCGGTGAGTGAATGTAGTGGTGTGAAAGTGAAATATGTTGGAAATGTGACTAAAGTGCAGGTGTTGTTACCAACATGTTCCCCCTTTTTTTTTTACTAAAAAGAATTGACTTCATATTTTGAGTGTTGCATTTTTCTTTAAGTTTAAAGTATTTTCGTTTTAAGTCTAAATAAAAAAAGTTCATATTAATATTGTGTATGGTTTGAAGTGTTTGAAATTCTGTACGCTGGGTCAAAGACTAAACGTTTTATCCTCATTTCTGAAGACTTTATCAATGTTCAAGTCTCATAAAGTCCAACACAGTTTATAAGATTGACACTTCACACTTTTCAGCTTAAAATAATTTAAAACAATTTTGGATGCGAAGCAAAATGTATTAAAAGAATAATGAAAGATTCAGCTGCCTTCAGTTCAGCTTGTAAGGATCTTAAGGCCCTGATTTTGGTAATTTTGAAATGTGAGAACTCATTTAAGTTTTGTTTGTAAAAAACTAGGTCTATATTTAAAAAAAGTTTAAACTTCCTGATTGTTTTTGTTTTAAATGTCTCTAGTGTAGAGAATTTGAATTTCCTGTGTGCTGGTGTGAATCCTGCTGAAAACTTAAAACTGAAAGCTGCTGAAATTGAGCTGAAAATATTTATTAGCAAAAGTGTCAATGTGAGTCCCAATCTAAAACTCAAAGAARAAAAAAAAAGGCTAATTTTGCAGAAAAACAGTTTAAAAAAAGCCTAAATAAAGTAGAAATGGCAAAAAACTGCTTAAAGCTAAAATAGCTGAATATAGCAGAAAACACCCATAAGAAACATAAATGGCACAAAAAAGTACAAATAAGTCAGTTTGTAGTAAAATTGCTAAAACAGCCAAAAATTTCAATAAAACAGCTTAAATGTAACTGGAATATTTTTTAATTAGCATAAAGAAGCATAAGGCGCACAAGTGTGCTAAACTTAGCAGAATTAAGTTGTAATAGCTGCAAAAATATTTAGATTAAATAGATAACTTTAGCTAATRACAGCTGAACRTTAGCTAAAATTTCAGGACATGGCTGAATATAACAGAAAGCATCTGTAAGAAGCAAAAATAGCACAAAGTAGCAGAATAAAGCACAAAAAGTGGAAAAAAGCAGAAGAATGGCATAAAGAAGCAGAATTTTAG